CGTAGATTTCTCGAAGGACGAGTGGGACTTCCTGGACTCTGCCCAGAAGAGCCTGTACAGGGACGTGATGAGGGAGAACTACAGCCACTTTATCTCTCTGGGTGAGTACGTCTGTCCCAGGGTCAGCCCCCCCGATGGAGAAACAGCCTGCATTTGTACTTCCTGTTTGGTAGATTAGAAATAGGTCTTTCCATGTAACATCGAATCATTCTTGGCCTGGGGTGCCTTTCTCATTTTCTCAGACTGTGACTTCTGGCTTTCTTTGTGTCCAGGTTTCCCTGGTGTCTAAATTGGATATGGCAGAAGTATTTTCTAAGAAAGCACATTGCATACCACATTTGAGCCCAGAATCGATGTAGACACTCCCTGCTCCTCTCTAGTTTCAAAGGCAACGTGTGTGGGATCGGTACAGACTTAAAACTCGGGGAACAAACTCTGTTCTGGGTAACAGACCTCTAAAGTTCTACCCACTTTTCATTTGAAAGTTGAAATCTGGGCTGGGGTGGTAGCTCAGTGGTAGAGCACTTGCCTAGGGTGTGTGAGTCCCTGAGTTTAATCCCAGCATGCGCACTCGCGCGCGCGCGCACACACACACACACTTTACTGAGGCGGCTTAGGAAACAGGCAGGATGTGAAGCAGCCAAAGCTGTAGTTATCGCAGTGTGGCCTCTCTGCAGAGCCAGGCTAAATTACATGAAGTGTGTCCTTAGTCATCTGATGTTTATTCTTTGTGGGCTCTAGGTTTCCCTAAAGTGGTTATTCTGTCACGTGAGTTTAATGCTTTGGTTTAGGACATGCCATTTTGGAGACAGGCATGGCGGTGGTCCTGTACTCGAGGCCAAGACAGGAAGACAGACAGGAACCCAGCCACTTTAATGCTAGGCTGGACTATGTAGTAAGCTCCAGGCTGGTTGTGCTCTGGTAAAACCCTGCCTGAAAAGTTACAACTAATTAAACATTTAATGAAATCCGCTCTGGTGAGACCCTGCCTCAAAAGTTACAACTAATTAAACATTTAATGAAATCTGAAAGTACGGGATTTCAGGTTTATAATTAGTGTGGCGTTTGCCTAGTAAGCAGGACCTTCCATTTCTAAGAGAGATGTGATTACTTTACTGGATAAAGATGGGAAGGAGCCTGAGATAATTGTGAAAGAAGGGAAAAGAAGATGCTGTCCTGGTGAGTGAGGGTGAGCTGGCCTGGAGGCTGTGGCTCCAGCTAGTTGCTCAGCTCAGTGTGGGGGGGGGGTGTCCTTGCTGAGAGATGGATTATTGGGGATCTCTCTTTCAAAGCCTTGGTCTCAAGGGAAACTTGGGACCTGAAGCAAAAAAAAAAAAGTGTGTATGTGAAAGGACAGTAGGAGATAGGCCCGCATGGAGCTCAGAGGACCACTGCGTGGAGGTGGTTCTCTCCTTCACCTTCCTGTGGGTCCTGGGATCCAGCTCAGGTCAGCAGGCTGGTGTGGCCAGCACCATTCCCGGTGAACCTTCCCCTGGTCCAGATGCCCATCTTTTAAACTGGTTTGTTTGTTTGAGACGTGTTTCTCTGTATAACAGCCCTGGCTGTCCTGAAACTCACTCTGTAGACCAGGCTGGCCTTGAACTCACAGAGATCTTCCTGCCTCTGCCTGCCGAGTGCTGGGACAAAAGGTGTGTGCCACCACCCAGCTCAAAATTGCTTTCTGTCGAACTTGGTCACTTTGTTTCTTAACTTTCATATTTCCTTCCTACTTGGAAGAAAGCCATTATCAGCAGAAGGGAAGCCTATCAGCAGACGGGGGAAATGATAGTAAATACCGGAACAGAACTCAGAAAAGTAAAACAGGAAAGGAGATTTATAAAGCCAAAATGGAAATAAATGTGGTTGAGAATGTGAGCAAAGTTAGTGACCACTCCGTTAAACTAATTGAGAAAAGGAACATAAATTACTACCATGAATGAAAGAAGGGATTTCCCCTCTCTTCTGGAGCTATGAAAAGAAACCATGAGTAACTCTGCACTAGGAAATTGGACAGCTTATGTGATGTGGAAAAATTCCTTGAAAAATGTCAGATTACAAAAAATAAATCTGTTAAGGTATGGAATTCATTATGAAAAATCTTTTGTAAGGAAAATGCTCAGGTATTTTCACTGGTGGGAAATTCTACTAAAAATTTAAGAAAGAAATAGCATCATTGTATGAATTTCTCCAGAAAATAAAGATATACCTCTTAGCCTAATTTATAAGGCCTATGTAACTCACATGTCACACTTGATATTTACTGGAAAAAAATTGTAAACCAACCTTTATTATTCATGTATACAGCTATAAATTTCCTAATGCAATACTAGTAAGTCAGACTCACAAAATATTTTAAAGTGATGATCAAGTGGACTTCATTCCTGCTTAATCATTGGAGCTCCGACTTTCACCCTGAGACACTGATAGCATCATTTCACCATATTCAACAGCAAAAAAAAAAAAGAGGCTATATGGTTAACTCCACTAGTGTTAAATACGTGACAAAACTCAGCAGCATTCCTGATCTAAACAAACAAACAAACCTATTGGTGAGCAGGGCATTGTGGTGCAGGCCTGAAATCGTAACACTAGGAGGATGGAGGTATGGCCCCTTAATGTGTATGTGTGTGTGTGGTCTGCGGGGGGTACCTTCCTCAATGCTTCTTCACTTTAGTTTTTGAGACCCAGCTCTGAACCTGGAGCTCACTCTGCTAGACTGGCTGTCTAGCAAATCCCCAGGGTTCCTTGCCTCTGCCTGCCTTCCTGATGCTGGGATTGCAGATGCACCACTGCCACCCCTGGCTTTTTACATGGGTGCTGGGGATACAGGCTCAGATCTGCTTGTTTCAGATTGATCTTTACTTTTTCATTTTTTCTTTTTGAGATGGGATCCTATGTTGCTCAGGCTGGCTTCAAACTCTCAGGGTCAAGTTATCCTTCTCCCTTAGCCTCTCTGGAAGTTGGGATTATAAACACACATTACACTCTCCAGTTGAAGGTTTGTTTGTTTTGGTTTTTTTAAAGATTTTATTTATTTTGTGTACAACATTCTGCTTCCATGTATATCTGCACACCAGAAGAGGGCACCAGATCTCATAATGGATGGTTGTGAGCCACCATGTGGTTGCTGGGAATTGAACTCAGGACCTCTGGAAGAGCAGCCGGCGCTCTTAACCTCTGAGCCATCTCTGCAGCCCATGTTTAGTTTTTTTTAGATGATCTTACTTTGTAGCTTAGGCTGCCCTCGTCCTCTTGCATTAGCCTCCTGAGTGCTGGCTGGGATTCCAGATGTGGGCCACTTGGCCTTATTTTCCTATGTGCTGTCTCAGCACCCGAAACAGGATTCCTGCTTAATTGTTATGCATTTTAATATTCATGAAGTGACTTTGGCCGCACTGAGTACCACTACCCCTTGACATAACAGCTATAGTGTTGTCAGTGTTTTACTGATGTAATTGTACACAAGTGTGTCTTATCACCTACTGCTTTTCCCATGAATTTTTGGTGCAGGATTTTTGTATAGGATGTGGGTTTTGGGGGTGCACCTGGGTAGCATTTTTTTTTTCAGAAATACCTGTTTACAGAAAGTATAGTAGGCATTACTTTAGGTCCTTTTTTTGTCTATAGAAGTTTTCTTCCTTCCAGAATGGGAATGCAGCATGTTTCTTTCTTGCTTTCTTCCAGATTTGGAGTCCAGATTCAAGACCAATACTTCATCCGCAGACAAGGATATTTATGAAGTATATTCATTACAGTGGGAGTTGATGGAGAAAATTAGAAGCCACAGCCCTCAAGGTTCTGGTCTTAGAGATGATTGGGAATACGAAAGCAAGGTCGAGCGACCAAAGGAACCCCAGAAAGGTTATTTGGGGCAGTGGAAAATGACCTCTGAAAAAGGCACATACAAAAAGCACCGTTTCCTTACTGAGTATCAGAAAGTTCAGAGTGGAGAAAAGTTCTATGAGTGTAAAGAGTGTAGGAAGACCTTTATCCGCCGCTCAACGCTTAGTCAACACTTGAGAATCCACACTGGCGAGAAACCTTACAAATGCAAGGAGTGCGGGCAGCCCTTCAGACAGCGTGCACACCTTATCCGACACTACAAACTTCACACCGGCGAGAAGCCCTACGCGTGTAAGGAGTGTGGGAAGGCCTTTACGGTGCTCCAAGAACTCACCCAGCATCAGCGACTCCACACTGGGGAAAAGCCGTATGCATGCAAGGAGTGTGGCAAGGCCTTTCGGGTGCATCAGCAGCTGGCTCGGCATCAGAGAATTCACACTGGGGAGAAACCCTATGAGTG